TCTCTCTCTCTCTCTCTCCCTCTTTCTCTCTCTCTCTTTCTCTCTGTTTGTTAGTGTGGAAACGAAATTCCTTGTCATGGAAACGAAAAATGATCGTCATATATGAAAGTTATACACAAATATAGCATGGATGTATTGTTTTCATTCATATCAAATATCTCTTTGTAAGTGAAATGTGTGTATTTGGTGTAATTTTTATATTTCAAGGTACTTAATCATAATTATAAAAATGACTATCTTTTATCAATTAAGGACAAGAAGAAGGAGCAAGGTGTATCGATGAAGTGAAGTTTTTTTATTTCTTTTTCTCTCTCTCTCTCTCTCTCTCATTCTCGAAGGATAAATATCAGGAAATTTTTTTATCATATCTGCATAAGTTATAATGGGAAGTGAGGCCGATTTTCTTCAACCGTGACAAAGATAAAGGGTTCTTTCTGCCTCTTTAGTTGACAGTACCTCAAAATTGGGTAATTAAACCTTTATTCGTATGCGTTGGTTAATACAGAAACGAATTCAACGATTATAATATCAGTATGAACAAAAGGGGAATCAGAGATCAAATGACGCCCGTTATCGTCTTTCCAACCGACCTGTTGGAACACGTTTTTCAAAAACGATTTAGCGCTCAAGACCTTCTTCTTCCTCGAACAGGGCGGATCCTGGGATAGTTCTGAGGTCAGTTCCGAGGTCAGTTCTGGGGTCACGAGAATTATTATTATTAGGGAACATAAAACAGTGGATGCACAATATTAGTTTACATTCCACAGTATATCTATACCTACAATACATTATACCAACAGTATCAAAACAATTATTGATTCACTGCTTCTCCTCGCGATTTCAGCGACAGGAAGAAATAATACTGCATTAAAAGCTTATCATTTAAATGATCTAAGTTTGTCAATTGGTTAATTATGATTTTACGTTGTTGATAAAACCCTATCATCATCATCATCATCATCCATCATCATCATCATTCATCACCATCATTCATCATCATCATCATCATCATCATCATCATCGTTATTATGAATATCAAAGAATCACAATATTTGACTGTTGTATATCAATATAATTGAAGAAATAGCAGTCCCGGAAGGTATGATATCGAAGATGCGTCGATGTTCATCATCGACTTCGACGGATAATCGAATACGAGAACCACTGACAGAAGCAGAACTTCGAACACGACCAGTAATAACACCGGAAGATGTATTACGCCTCAACAAAATTACCGATGGTTTGTTTGTTTGCTTTTTCTGTTTTAGCTAAGTTGAAATACTAATTGAAATTAAATTAAGGTATAAATAGTTTTTTGTTCTATTTTTTCTCCCCATTCCTCATTCCGTAAAGATTTCTTTGAAATGAAATCATAAATTGTCTTAAAATTATTGAAAGAGAAATAACAGAAGTCATTGCAAGTATCCATCTATATTTCTTTCACAGAAAAAGAAAAGATCGAAGTACAGGAAGCGCAAAATTTAATTTCATTGAAATGGTTAGATATGTTTATTCAATAGCTAAACTCATTATTATTCATTTATTTCGTTTTGTTTGATTCTTTTTTTGATTAAGATCAAATTTTTATTATTTTGTATTGTCATTTCTTTTCCTGCAGGTTATTTATGTGAACCGGACGCAAACATTTATGATATCGAATTTACAAGGTTTAAAATTCGTGATTTAGACACAGATCAGATTTTATTCGAGATTGCCAAACCTACTACAGGTAAGTTAGCTTCTTTTCTCATTGTTTCACCTCAGCTGATATTTCAAGTTTACTAGTGTGTGAAAATTTCCCATCTTCACTACGCTACGTGTATTTATCATATTTCATGAATGATGTTAAATGCGCTATGAAATAACTGTTTCAATCATTCATTAGTCATTTCTCTTCACCTATGTTGTTTTTTGAAATAATTTAAATTTTTAGAAGAGCTTGACATTGATGATTTGAATTTGGAAAAATGTGATGATGCACGTGCTGCTCGTTTTGTTCGTTATCAGTTCACACCTGCATTCCTACTTCTTAAACATGTTGGTGCAACGTAAGTCGTGTTTATATATAGATCGTGAGGAACGAGTTTAATGCATTTTAATTTTCGTTTGGATTTTTGTAAAAAAGTTCAGATGGCATAATTGTGCGAGAGCCAAGCAGAAAAGTAATCGCTGTGATTATATGATTAATTTCGAAGAGCTTTATCGATCACTGTCCGTCGTTTGAAAATTCGAACTTTGAACGAGCTACCCTAGGCATGGCATTCATACTCTTTTCTTGTGCTTCGTTTTTTCTGCATCGTTTCTTTGATTTCAAAGCATAAAATCTAGTAAAATTCTGAAAACTTCCTAAAATTATCGCTAGATCCCGGTTGACAATGATTTTTTCCAGTGTTGAATTCAATGTTGGAAATAAACCGGTGAATAAATTTCGCATGATTGAACGACATTTCTTCCGTGATCGTTTGTTAAAAAGTTTTGATTTCGAATTTGGCTTCTGTATTCCGAACAGTAGAAATACTTGTGAACATATTTATGATTTTCCACAACTCTCCGAATCATTAAGTTAGTTTTTTCAGCAATAAACGGAATATTTGCATAGTGTCATATTCCTTTACTTATTTTTATTTCTTTCATCACAAGCTTAATTTCTTTTGATTGTTTTCATTCCCGAACATTCAATAAATCCCAAAACGATCTTTATAACCATTCATTGGCTAAAAGTTAAATGGTATTGGGTTTCAGCGACTTTTTTTTTTTAAATTTATTTGTTCTTTTTGCTTATTTCTTCATTTGCGCCAATACAATTTATGATAATTTTTGAGGATTTGCCAAATTTCTGGATATGGAAAACTAAACAAATGTTATGACTAGTGAGTGAAAAAAAGTGTGAAATTTGTCCTTTTCTTTTTTTCAGTAATCAGTGATAATAGTTGAAGCGGAATGATTTTCTTTCAAAAGAGGATTGATTTAAACCATTCCATGCTTAGCTCGCTTACTCATATTTGTTCTTACTTTTTTTTTTTTGTTTGTTTTTTAAATTATCCAGATGACAAGTAAAGGTAATTGATGGTGATAACTTATTGAGTTACTTTAACGTTAACATTGACAACTAAATGATATCTATTTAATGCATTATACAATCATTGTCTATCGTAATCATCAAAACTTATCCATTCATTCAGCGTATCGTATCACATTTCTGTGCTATTGTTTTCACTTATTTTCTGTCCGTCAAGAAGTCAATATGCGCACACGAATGCTAGCTGCCAAATCACTCCATTGATCAAGGGTTTGAATGATGTATGATCTAAATAACTAATTAGATTCCAACTGATTCTTTCAGTAGATGAAATGATTTCAAATCCATACGAAACACGTTCCGACAGTTTTTATTTTGTGGAAGATCGTCTAATAATGCACAACAAAGCGGATTATGCATACAATGGTGGCGACTGATCTTACGACATTATGCTTCTGAATTTGTATTCATACCTTTTTATCTTTTTTTAAAATTGATTATTGTTATGGTCCCCCTAATGCATATGACACGACCTTTGTTTCCTGCAATTTGCCACATAATCTTAATTAGTTTAAAAGAGCAAAATTAAAATCTGGATAAAAATCAAGAAAATTCAGAAGTATTTTCTCTGTGCAATCATTCGCTTTCATCTCTGTGATTAATTCCAGCCTGTAGCAGTTCTTTTTGTGTAGCATAGAGTACCATTACTTCCTTTCATGAGACTCATCCTTTTCAAGTTTTCATAATTATATAAAATTTCTATTTCTATCTTTGATCGTCTAAGGACAAAACTGTGATATCTCCTTAGAAAAAATTTTTCCCTTTCACTGAAGAGAAAACAAGTACCGGTCGACATTCTCGGGGAAATATTCCAGTAAGAAATCAAAAAAAGAAAAAGTACCACAGGAAGTTTGGCAGTTTTTCTCTTCCAATTGTTTACAATATTTTACTACATTATCCACATATTGTTCGTAAGTGATGACACTGTGCATAATGTGACATCCATGATCATCGACTTCTTATCACCCTCATATTAATTGAATTCATATCAAAAGGAAGAAGGGATGGAGTGGGAAGTTTGGACGAAAATTTAATATAATTAAGCACAAAATAGTATAATAAATTGGTCATCTTCTTGCAACTTGTTTTCTGAAATGAAGTTATATGCGTCTTGAGTGTTGTAACTAATTATCTGGTTGCATGTCGAGTCCCTCATTTTTCAGTGATGTAGCACTTGGTCAATCTAATAGCCAATAAGCGTAAAATCGGGCAAGTAGTAAGCAGCTGACCTTGTTAGTGGCCGAAACTAGAAAGCATGGTATCTACCTTCACTTTCACATTCGTGACTTTCCACTCATTATTCAAGGGTGCACATAGTTTAATTTTTGATCACTTAATGATCCTACCCAGGTGAATTTGGACAGAACTATCTGTTACTCTGAATGGTAATTTGTTCAGGTCCATGAAAGCTGTGAAGGAGAGTGGAGGAAGAGATTTTTCCACTACAGGTACGACAGCTTTTAACTTCTTCCTGTTCATGACGAATCAGGAAGTGTTAATACTCATGTCTCATGTAATACCTCATGTCACATATGCCTGTGACGATAACTATTTGCATCTGCTGTGCATATCTGTATCCGTTGTGTGTGTGTATATGTGTGTGTATGTGTG